ACGGTCATACCATCTGGCAAGGAGTTTAAGATGGCTCGACTTCAGTTGGGGGACTTCAAGATGGGGGACTTCAAGACGGGGGACAAGACGGGGGACTTTAGACAGGGGACTTCAGACCAGAGAATGAGACTTCAGATGGGCACTTCAAGATGGGGGACTTCAGAAAGGGGACTTTAGACAAGGGACTTTAGACAGGGGACTTTAGACTTCAGAGAATGAGACTTCAGATGGGGGACTTCAGACAGGAGACTTCAGACTTCAGAGAATGAGACTTCAGACGGGGGGACCAACGGGAGATTTCGCAAAGAGAAAGAGTTGCAGCGCGTGCATTCAACATCATCTCGACGAGAGGACAGCAGACGCACAAGACTAAGAAAGACAAAACAGAAAAGAATTAGAGAGAAAGAGAAGGAGGGGGGGAAGAATAAAAAGCAAACCGGGAACCCAACCCTCATGGCAGCTCGTGTCGATAATGAGGGCGATGAGGGTTGAAGGGGGGGGGCTTGGTGGGGGGAGGGGGGATATATGAGAGAGTGTAGGAAGGTAGGGAGGGAAAAGTGAAGGAGAGAGGGAGAGAAATGTAAGAATGGGACGAGAATGAGGAAGAAAGATGAGGCAGGAGAATGGTACATGAGAGAGGCGAATGAAGGGGAGGTAGAGGAGAGACAGGAGAGATGGGAAGATAGGGGAGGGAGGGAAAGAAAGTAGAAGTAAAGGAAAAAGACAAGGGAGAAAGAGGAAGGAATTGGAGGTAGGGAAAAATTGAAAATGGAGGCGCGAGGAATGAATGAGGGAGGGGAGACGAAAGAAAAAAGACAGAGGGGTAGGGAGGTAGGAGAAAAATGAGAGGGGAAGGGAAGTAAGAGAAAAGAGAGAGGGGAAGGGAGGTAAGAGAAAAGAGAGGGGGAAGAGAGTAAGAAAAGAGGAAGGGAGGTGAAAGAAAAGAGAAGAGGGGGAAAAGGGGGATATATAGGCAAGAGAGGCTTAGCAGGTGAGGGCAGTGCATAATAATCAAACACTAAACGTATATACATAGTCACTGATAAAGGAAGGAATCCGTGAAGGGGAAAGGGTGACATGTACTTGTAAAGGAGAGATTATGAAGGCAGCAGGGACGGGGAAGCAGGAGGGAAGGGGAAGGAGGAAAGGGGAAGGGGAGGGGAGGAAGGGGGAAGGGGAAGGAGGAGGGAAGGGGAAGGGGGAGGAGGTAAGGGGAGGGAGGGGTAGGAGGTGGGGAGGGGAAGGAGGCGGGAAGGGGAAGGGGAAGGAGGAGAGAGGAGGTGGAAGGAAAGGAGGGAGGGGGAGGAAGGAGGGAGGGGGTAGGAGGTGGGGAGGAGAAGGAGGAGGGAAGGGAAGGAGGGAGGGGGAGGAGGGGGAAGGGGAAGGAGGAGGGGAAGGGAAGGAGGGAGGGGGTAGGAGGTGGGAGGGGAAGGAGGTGGGGAGGGGGAAGGAGGAGGGAAGGGAAAGGAAAAGGGGAAGGGAAGGAGGGAGGGGGTAGGAGGTGGGAAGGGGAAGGAGGAGGGGGTTGGAGGTGAGGAGGGGGTTGGAGGTGGGGGGAAGGGGAGGGGAAGGAGGAGGAGGAGGGGAGGGGGAAGGGAAGGAGGTGGAAGGGAAGGAGGGTGGGGAGGGGAAGGAGGAGGGAAGGGGAAGGGAGGGGGGGGAGGGAGGGGAAGGAGCAGGGAATGGGAAGGAGGAGGGGAGGGAAAGGGAAGGCAGAAGAGGGCAGGGAGAGGGAGCGGGGAGTGAAGGGAGGAAGGGGAAGGCAGTGGAGGGCAGCGGGAGGGAGCGGGGAGTGAAGGGAGGGAAGGGGAAGGCAGTGGAGGGCAGCGGGAGGGAGCGGGGAGTGAAGGGAGGGAAGGGGAAGGCAGCGGGAGGAGCGGGGGAGTGAAGGTAGGGAAGGGAGTGCGGAGAGAAAGGGTAGGGAGAAGAGGAGGGCGACGGCGGTGGGTAAAATTTGGGCAGACAGGGTAGGGGGACGAGGGAAGAAAGGATAGAAGGAATGAGGGGGGAAGGGGAGAGAGTGCGCAGGAGGTAAGAAAGGAGGGAGGTAAAGAAGAAGGAATAAAGGAGGGTAGGGGAGAAGAGGGGTGATATGGGGAAAGGGGTACTAAAAGAAGGGAGAAGCAAGGATGGGAGAAGAAAGAAGGTAGGTAAAGAATGATCCGAGAAGGAAGAGTGAGCCAAGAACGAAGGGGAAGGAAGGTAAGAGAAGAAAGAAGAAAGGAGAATGAGGAAAGAGGATTATAAAAAGGTCGGAAAAAGAGTAGAGCCAAGAAGACCATAAAGATGGAGGAGGGAAAAAAACAACTGAAAGGGTAAAGAGGAGAGAAGGGAAAGTAGGAGAGGGAGGAGGGGAGGAGGGTGGGGGACAACAACACAAGGACACAGACTTTCTGATCCCAAGATGGCGAAGGAGGGAAGGAGGTTGCAACATGGGGCTCGTAATCTGGGCTCCGAGTTCATTTTGGCTTTTTCAAATACTCAGAAGGCACTGATCAAA